GATTGAACCCTGCTTCTCGAAGGCTGCCGAGGTGTTTGTTGCGATCGTTGCGTTCTCGACGGGGCTTGGCTCCTTTTCCTCCGTTGCCCTTTTCCTTGTCCTCCTTCGTTTTCTTTTCTTTGGCAGCTTGCGATTCGGCAGGAGGACCTTCGGCTGAGCGCTTGAGTGCCCAGGAGGGGGCGGCACTCGACATCGCGGTCAGCAGGACACGGCGGTAAGTGTTCGTCTCGGATATGCCTCTGAAGCTGGTCTAGATTGGGCCACCGAGGACAGCTACAGATCGGGCAGATAAGCGGCACATCGACAATAGGATGTACAGCATGGGCAGAGCTAGCATTGCAGGTACCAGCACGATAAGCAGCACGAATGTGTGATGTAGCAGACCGACGGAAGGCAAACGTTTGCATGCAACACGGGCACTGATTGGTCACGACGCACTTGAGTAAGTTAGACGTCTTACCATGGGTACCACCTTTAGTGAACGTGTTGTGCATTGTCAAAGCTTTGCGTGACGTGAAAGTGGCCCCACAAACACAGCCATCATCAGTCAACTGAGTGCACCGAAATCGTAGCGCGGCATCGCCCCACCCCTCCACCTCCTCATCGCACGGCATGGGTCCCAGATCAATAGGGGCCCCAGCCCTCCCAAGCTTCCAGAGTTTCCGAATTACCGAGACATCTGTATTCAGGAACCGGTGTCGAACATCGTCGTCTTCGAACAATTTAAGTATAGAACGTTCCCAATGCTCATTCCAGTCGTCCATGTCAGTAAAGGCAGCAAGGCAAGACACGTCGGCAACAAATCGCCTAGCAAAAGGGTTAGCAGTAGGCGTCGCCTGACCAGCAACGAGGGTGTGGTCAGCTTCAAACTCATACTTACCGAACAGGGTCGCAAGTACTAAAACGTGATATTCAGGAAACCGAACCATGTTTTGGTACCAACGCAGCCTCTGGACCAAAAGCTCACATCGAACAGGTACCACATCAAGCCAGGAGTAGGTGCGTCGGCTGGACCAGGACCGAGGGTGCGGGCCAGACCAATCGCAAGCGTCACCTTGGGCAATGGATCGGATTTTGCGAAGTAACGCCGAATCAAGCTCACTCTCTTGGGCGGGTGACAAGATAAACGGCGTGAGCCCCGACAATAGCGCACCCTGAACAACCGACACAAAGATGAGTCTTTTTACTTTCCACGGCGCACGACTGCTCCATAGGTGCTGAAACGCTGTCCAACCACGCGCCGCAGCATTCTTCGCAACTACCATCTGCGGGGACAGAGCACCAGTCGGCATAAAGAAAGGTCCCAAGTAACGTGCGTAGGGTAGTACTTGAGCACCTCCCACCTTTGCATTGTAGAAGAGTCGATTGTCATGATATCCATTGAGCCAAGGGACCAGGACCTGCTTCTTGAGGTTCTGCTTGTATCCGCACATGCCCAGGACCTCCGTGGCAGTAGATTGTTCAACGGTAACCTGTTGCACGGCTTCTGCGAGCTTACCAGAATGCAGTAGAATAGAATAAAACAGATCGTCCACATACTTGACCAAAGAGGTGTCCACACGTTCGTTAAATAAAGAACATTCTGCTTGAAGTTCGGGCCGCGGAGAACGATAGCGCCACGTGTTAACAGGCGTGGCAAAATCCATGCGAAACTCATCAGGGGCAGAAGTCTCTCCCATGAGGACTCCCGCAGTGAGCTTGAGGTGTAGCGGGCCATCAACAGCATCCAAATGCAGTATGTGAGTCGAACGACGATCTGCAAGAAGAGTAGCGTCTGCGTCAGGAAGATATTCATGTAGCACTTCGTTGAGTCGAGAATGGTCGCAACATCCATATGCATTGGTCATGTCGTCAAGGACCGCAACATGTCGTACTTTAGCGGGGCGTAATCTCCACTCGGTCGCATGCACTGCCAAGATCGCATTTTCACGACGACGATGAGGTACGCAGCCTTGATCGGCATGGTGAGGGGGTCCGAAAGGTACACTTTTGTATAATCCACGGCACACAGCACGATAGAACGGGCACAATCCATGTAAATATCTGGTGGCGCCGTCAGGCTTGGGTGTTTGCCACACGTTACTGTATCCAGAACAAGCAGGAAACCTTCCACACATTCGCCAGCAGGCAGCGAGCGCCTGCATTGTAGTGGCCACAGCATCCGTGGCAGGAGGTTCAATTGTGCAGCCCACGCCAGCCAGGGACTTCTTCTTCTGAGAATAGTACGACGGCCGTAGCATCATCAACCAAACTTCACCAGGCATGCTCCAATCAGGAACAGCGCGACGTCGAGCAGCTTTTTTTTAGAAGGGAACTGCCCTCGCCAAATCCTTTTCGCCAAGCGCCACGGCAGTGTCATGATTGCTGCACCCAGCAGGCGGGAGTGCAGCACGTTGAGCTTCGAAATCAGCAATCGCCACAGGCTGCGCACCCAAGCCACCATGAGCACCAGACTTCTGCAATATGTGCACCAATTCCACAGTCGAGGGCGCATGCTTCCGTATCAAATTGTACCGCCTACGCTTGGGTCCAATACCTGCGCCAGCAAGTTTGCGAGAAAAAGTCTGTACCTCCGCCAGTCGGCGGTGGCGCCAGGCCTCGCGTAGCTGCTGAGTCCAGTTAGCGTAGAGGGCCCGTCGCCACCTGCGTACTTTACCCTTGAGGATGGCACTGAGCGTACGTATCTGCGTGTCATGATGGGCATGAGGCGCCGCAACAGCACGAAGCTTACCTCGAAGGTCGACCAGCCGCCGTACTTCACGCCGGAGGGCACGTGCATCTTCATCCATGCAACTATTACGTGAGAAATACTTAGCAGCCACAGGTAAGACAATTTCCCGAAAGGCAGCACAACCTTGCTCAATCTGAGGAGCTTCGAAAAAAACCAAGGAGAGAGAACTTAGTACGCGATAGTTCAGAATCCAGCTCAGCCAAGAAAGGTTCACGAAGACCAGGAGTTTGTAGTGCCAGCGCCACGCGATCACGATCCCAGGTAATCTTCTTGGCAGAGCGTACATGAGGTAAAGACATTACAATTTCCAGCCTAACGGGTGCATGATCAAGTAGAGCGCCAGACCCAGGTGCCAAACTGCAACTTCTTGGCAAGTCTCGTCATAGTAACGCATTTTGTAACATGCTTGCGGAGTCCAAGGGGGACCACAAGGTAGTCAATAAACGAAGTGCGATTCTTCTGTCCATAGAACGTAGGATATACTTGCTGGAAGGTGCTGGGGACGCACAGGTGGTGACGGTGAAGTAATTCACGAAAAGTTTTCGCAGTGTATCCCATTCGGGTCGTCGTAAATGGTCCAATACATTGATACTGATCGGCTTGGTCCGCAGAGAATGAATCATTCAGGTCAGTGTAGAGCACGGGGGTGCAGCGGCACGGCAAAGCTCCCAACGTGTCAGACAGCCACCGAAGTAGGCAGTCCACTGTGTTACGCCATGCCCCCGTTGCGCGTCCAACAGCCGTGGGTGGAAAGTAAATTGCAAATGCTGCGATATCAAAGTCTTTCCCAATCAGTCTGATCATGCCACCACGGCCTTGCGCAGCAGCAGGAGGAGACGACACAACGTGTACCTTGCCACGCTGGAAAGCCTTGACATTGTACCCAATCGAGACACCGCACGAGTTATTAGTGAACGGGCCACGAGCGTATCCGAAGTGAACAAACTGATGCGCCTCCTCCGACTGCGTCCACGTCGTAGTGTGTGGGAGAACCCGAAGGCGAGTGCCCACAAGCATGACCAAAGCGGTGGAACGCAGCAGGGTGCTGATCTCGTAGAGTCTGCGGGTCTGCATGAGGGAGCACGGGTTGTACCCGACAAAAGAGAGGTGCTTCATGGTTTCAACCTGAGAAAACCAGCCAGGCGACTCGGGCCATCAGCGACAGGCCCCTCCCAGGCCCATCAGGATCGATGTGATGTAGGAAAGTGCGAGGTGCAGAACAGGGCCCCAGACACCCCTCGAACTCCTGAAATGGGCTGGAGGAGGAGGAGGAGGAGGAGGAAGAGGAGGAGGAGGAGGTAGTGGGGGAGGAAATGGAGGAGGAGGAGGAGGAGGAGGAGGAGGAGGGAGGGAGGAGGAGGAGGAGGAGGACGGGTCGCCTAAGCCCTTCGGAGAAACCCTCCAGTACGGGGTTTCCGAGAGGGGCCGGAGGCTCCAGAGACGGCAGGCGGGGTCGCACGGTCAAAGCGGCCACGGCCCCGTGGAGCTATCCCGGATTGGCAAGCGCGTTCCGCTACTCGCAAAGTCACTACTCGCAAATGGCCTGGATCCGCCGTGGGGGATTTTTGGCGGCGCGCACAAGGGGGTGGAGGGAGGGGGGAGGGCTTCTCAGCAGCAGGCCGCTTCTTAGAAGGCACCGGACTTACATCCATAGAGGAGGCCCGCGCCTTCTTAGAAGAAGGGGTGCTTCTAAGAAGCCCTCCCCCCTCCCCCCACCCGCCTCTGCGCGTGGCTGAGCTACCACGAATAGGCAAGCGCGTTCCGCTACTCGCAAAGTCACTACTCGCAAATGGCCTGGATCCGCCGTGTGGGATTTACGATATATCACATCGAGGCGAACGCGGGTTTCTTAGACGTTTGCAAGTAGGCACTTTGCGAGTAGTGGAACGCGCTCGGCGAACTAAGGAGGAGCGGTCCGAAGTGAAGAGTCCATGCACCAAGAGCACAGGGGTATGACTCCAAAGCCAGGACTGTTCTTGACCCTCGTGCAGGCTGTAGCCTCTGGGCGATGTACGCTGCACACTCTGGATAAGGAACAACACTCATTTGGGGCCCTAGCTGCGCCCACATTCCCGAAGATTGCCGAAGGAAAGCCAACGGAAGGGCCCAGAGAGCGTAGAGACCCTTGCGAATCCAACTTGAACCTTACATTTGTTTGACTGTACGCCGACGTCGCCTCATCGTCGCAAGCCGCGTCCACCGCGGCCCTCCAGCACACGCGCACTCCCACGCGTGAGTGCTTGACCAAGAGCGCCGACCGGCAAGCTGCCGAGCCGGCGACTGGTCGATCTTGGTCGTCATCTTCTCGATCTCCGCGATCTTGTCCGCCTCCTTCTCTTCGTTCTCGCTGAGCTCCTGGGAGGCCGGCGGTAGGAGTGCGCGGAGTGCACCTGTGCACAATTACCGCGCCTGAGCGGGGCCGTCCAGGCGCGTCAGCGGATCGGGAGAACCGTGTATGCGGCACTGCTCGCGCGTACTGCCCGTCTTTCTGTCACCTTGGACATCGCCCTCCACCCCGGCTCTCCTACCACTCTCGGCCCTGCGTGCACGTGCACGACCTCGCCAGTCCACATGCTCGCGCAACTCTCCTGGGCCAAGGAAGCCCCGCGCGGAAGGATCTCCAGCCTGCCTTTGGCTACCGATCGTGCTTTCAATTCGCTCAGCGATCGTTCGAAC